ATTAAACAAGCACTTGGTCCTTGTTGAGCTGTGTCACTTAATCAGCTGTATTGACACTGTGCTTTCAGACAGCTCAGCACAATAGGCTTGGTTTGGTAAACACCAGGGTGTGTTGGTTTGATATAGAAGCTATGTGTGAACATCCTGAACTGCCTGGCTGGAGATGGCCAGGAGCTGGCAGGGGACCCACCCCAATTCAGTTGTGGATTCACCACAGCCATGGGGGTGCCTGGGTCTGCTCTGGGCTGCACATGAGTGCAAGACTGCTGTGATCCTGGGCAGCAGGTGATTGACAGTACAGTGAAGTGTGGGAAATCTGTGGGAGTTCCTGCCAATGAGAAATCGAAGTACGGTTCCAACAATTCAAAAACCTGCTTGGTCATCGTTACTGGCCAGCTGGTTGGGCCATCTCCTTTACCTTAAAGACAGACCAAGCCAGCCAGCCCCCAGGTGCTGTGGAGTGTAGCAGCCCAGCAGAGCTGGGAGCTGTAGCAGTGACGGTGGCTCTCTCTCTGCCCTCGCAGGACCAGCAGCCCTTCGCCAACGCGCACGACGTGCTGGCGCGCTCGCGCAGCCGCGCCAACGTGCTCAACAAGGTGGAGTACGCGCAGCAGCGCTGGAAGCTGCAGGTGCAGGAGCAGCGCAAGTCCGTCTTCGACCGGCACGTGGTGCTCAGCTAAGGGGGCTCGGGGAGGAGCTCCGGGCGTGTGGACTGGTGCAAAGAGCTGACAGAAGTCTTCCTGATCCTGCCCATTCAGAAGGGTTTTCTTGAATGATTTGTTATTGATTTAAAAACAAAACAAATTAAAGAGGTATTTGAGCTATGAAGGGATGTACTGGAATGGAAGGAGTTTAAACAGATTAGTTAACCAAAAGCTTAAATCTTTGTTTTCAAATGGCTTTTACTAACAAAAAAAAGAAAACAAACCCTAAGATACCTTAGGTTGCCACTGTGGTACATTCTTTACAGTTGTGACTTTATGGTGGTTTTTAACTATATATTTCTCTTTACTATTTATGTGGTTAAAAAGTACCTGGGAACACAGTAATAACTTACAACTCACTAATCACTTTATGTAAAGACCTTTTGTAAATATACTTGGATTTTCTGCTGATTGATGCTAGGTACTGGAAATCAAAGTCTTGCAGTGTAGTTTTGGCCTCAGAGAATGAAACCCTGCTGGCTGTGTTCATTTGGTTTCTTGCACTTGTACTTTCAAGATGTTTGTATGGCAAGTGATGTCTGCAGACTTAAAGCAAAACATAAGTGGACACTGACTCCTGGAGCTGCATATTTCAAGTACTGTGATGTAGATAAATTCAAATGCAGTGCACATTCAAGACAGTGTTGACGTTTTGTTCTATTTTGCTTTAATAGCTTAATATATTGTAGGTGTATGATAGCTCTTATAAAATCTTTTCCCTTTCTTTTCATGGATAAAGTCTCAGGAGTTAGTATATGATGAAATATTTATTATAAAAATCTTCCTGCATTTGTCTGGATTGATGGTGTAAGGCACATACTTTCTCTAGCACCTGTCATCTTGGGAGTTAGGTGTATTTTTTTATCTGTGACTCTGTATTCATCTCTCTTCAGAGGTTATACAGTTGCTGGATGACTAACTTTCATATATCCCCTTTGGAATGTAACAATTAAAGATAAAACTGATTTTTGAAAAATGGATCTGCATTATCAGTTTGTCATCATTTTTCTCCCTCATTATGCTGCATGTAAACTCCATCTATAAAAGTGCTCCTCTAAACACACTTCAGAGTAGAAATGTGCACTTGTTCAGTGATTAGGTAAAGAAAGGCTCATCAAATTGTTAATTGAAAGAAGTTTTTAATCCCTGACTCATATGTAGCTGTGTATATGTAGTTGCATTATTGTGTGACAGTTTTCAGTTCAATGTGGGAGGAGGTGGTCCTTGGAAGAATACTCTGTTTCTGGGGATAGTTTTGGCTTGCTTACTCCATGCCTGGGGGACAGCCAGGTACACAGCTTTGTTTGCATGCCAGTCCTGTAGACTTCCAAAACTGAGTTAACCTGGAGTCATTTAAAGCAGGTGGTGAATTGGTGGATTTACAGGATTCTTGCTTTAAATTGAAAAAAAATATTGCACGAGGATTGACAGGTCAAAAAAAATATTTGTGCTTGGTTTCAGTTTTTGTGTTCAACATGGCCCCAGTGAGTGGGAGCTTGTTCAGTTGGTGCTGTGTGGTTGCTGGTTATGACACTTGGGGTCTACTAAAGAAGAAGAATGCAACTTGTTTGTGGAATATATGCCTTGATTGTTGAGTATCTCCCTGTCTCCCAGTCCTGGGAGTTGTTCTACCTCTTGTCTTTCCTGTGAGGCCTGAAGCTGGTGTGGGAAGGGGGAAGTTGGATACAGCACTGTGGCTCACACAGGGGCAGCAGAAGGTGAAGCACTCTTTCCTTGATGGGTGACAGTCACAAGAAGCAGGACTGAGCGTATGTCCATCTTTTGCCAGTAAAAAGTATTTCTGATCTTACAATTTTAAGCTAAAGTGGTTTGGGTTTGGATTTTTGTGTGTGGTTATGCTTTGATTGATAGAAGGGCCAAACCACGAGATAGTTCCAAGTGTCAATCCTGTTAAATGTGGAATTTTGAAGATTGGTGTCCTATTTAGTTGCACGTGTACAATTGGGCAGATATACTGATATATGTAGCACCTAAGTACATGTATACATTGCATTATAGATCTGTACTGTTTCTCTTTGTAAGCAAAAGTTGTGTTGCTTCTGTTGGCTCACTCAAATCTTCTCTTCTTATATATATTCACCTTTTATATGGTGTTAGTCAACACTAAAAAAATTTCCCAAAATTACAGGTATAGTGATTAAATTTAAGGGCATTAAGCTGGCTAATAATATGTGTCCTCACCTGTAGTGGAGAGAAATCCATTACAAATTTCTAAATAAATGCTGTTTTTCTGTGTTTAAAATGAAGCTATGGAAATGAGTTTGCTTATCCCTTGATGGTGAATATTTACCTAAATTCTAGCCAATTGTTCTGTTTAGATATTAGAGTACAAAATACCAATAAATGAAAATTCTGCTTTGTATTTTCATTACTATACTGTAGTAGTCTGCAGCAGAAGGCAAGCAGGAAGTGAACAAACCACATTCCTGATTACTTTTTCAGGTAATCTGGATATGTTCAATAGCAGTTTCAAAATTTCTAGCCCTTGATGCCAAGTTTTGTTGCCATCATAGCTGTGGTGTGGGTGGGAAAGCCCAACCAGAAGGGAGCAGATCTAACTGTAAGCTACTTTGCATGTTGTCAATTGACTATAAATTGCAGCAGTCATTGACTCAGTGGAACAAGCTACATAATTCAGGTAAGAGACTTGCATGTTGCTGTATCTAGCCACAGATCTTTACTGAATATCAATGTTCCATTTGCTAACAGTATTTTCATAGCTTTTCAATGAATCCTGTTTAATGTGATCTCTTATTTAATAAGGTGTAAGAAAAAATGGAACTTTAACATCTTTTTTTTTCTTAATATCATTCAGATATTTTCATCAGGTATTCATCACTCTTTAAACAGCACATCTTGTTTCCCTGGATTTTACTTTCACCCGAAGATTGGTGAGTCTCTAGTCTAAAGGGAAAATGTTCCTAACACTTTGTGCAGGTGTGGAGACAGCAGGTAACTGTTTTATGTAACCTTGTTACACAGCAGAAATGTCACTACTAAGCAACAAATACTGCAAATATCTCTTCTTGAGGGGTTGTGTTGGTTTTGGTTTCTTCTCTGGAGTGATGTTGTGCCATAATTTTTTTTTGCTATGTAGCAGACTTTCCCTCAGTGTTTTAAAGTTGTTAGCAGCAGAAAGTTTTTAGGCAATAAGGCAGTCTTATAAGTAGAAAAGGGAAAGTTGACTGGCAGCTATTTTCATTTTATGAGGAGTGTATATTCACATATGTAAAAATATGTGAGTTTTTTGCATGCATAATAATGTGAAATGGAAGTGTGTTCATGCTTTTAGCCTACCTACAGAAGTACCTGTTTAAGATGCATGGGACTCCCACTCATGCCTAACAGCTATAAATGAATTCTTCACTCACAGGATGTCTGTTGTGAAATCTATGTGCATTAGAAAAAGAGAACTCTGCATACTGAGGCATTTTCATAGAATGTTGTGAGAACAGATCCATACCAAGTAAATATTCTCTGTGTAAATGTGGCAGGTATGAAGTCAGTAGAAAATATTACATTATCCCTATATCCTTGTGGTGGATTTGTGTTATGGAGTTGTGATTGGAACATGTGAAGCTTTGCCAGATTTCTGTGAGTGTGGAATCCAGCAGGTTCTGGTAATCCAGTTTAACGTTCAGGTGTGGTTTGCATTTTAGAGGATGCAATAGAATCTGTGCTTTGGACAGCAGTGTATGGATGTGCAAGTGGATGGTGAGTAAGAGCTTTTTGGATCAATTCTGTGTAGGCAAGTATTGGTTGCAATCTGTAAGGGTGGCTCATGGTTACTCTTTAAAAATTAGGTGGTTATTTAAAATTTATTTAAAGAAGCTGTTAGGTAACAGTCATTACATCCTCAGCAGTTAGGCTGATGTTTAGCTGTTGGAATAATGATATTGGGAAGGCACCATAATGCAGCTTCTTATAAACCACTGCAAGAGTATCTTTGTGATAAATGTGTCAGGGTGATTTGAGTGGTTAGAGCTGCTGTAATGCTGCTGTGAAGAGAGGGAGTGAGGGTAGGCCAGTCTGACTTACAGGCTTCCAGCAGGGCCCCAACAGCTGGGTGCCATCCCTTCTTTGTATTACTAGGACATGCCTTTTTCCTTTAATAAAGTGTTCGTTTCATAAATATCACATATTTAATATTTAATTCCTAGCAGTAGAATTGGTTTTAGTGTTTCATGTCTGTGTTTAATCTGCAGGTAGGTGGAGAAGGAATGTGAGGACCCAAGGAGGTGTTAGATTTAGTGGAAATTCTCTCATCTCTAAATCTTTGTATGAGTGGATGTCATACTGACAGACATGGAATTAAGATTGAAATCCATTCTCTGCACAGATTTTCCATTTTGTTAAAAATGATATATTGAATGTAATGTCCTGTGAATAGAGAGAAAAGTAATTTGTCTTTGAAGGCTCTTTGGTACGACTAGGGAGTCTTTTACTGGAATTGTAGAATCAGTTTTTCTCAGGGAGGGGAAGGGAGTGGGGAGACTGCCTCAGATGTTGGCCTGCTTTATTTGTTGTCTGTAAGTTTTGGTGGATTTGGAGCAAGCTAGACCTATGTGGAATGCATATAAGGTAGAGTCTCTTCATTTCTAAAGCTGAGGTGAAAGGAAGCTGCTTGCTCTTTCCTTTAGGAAACTTTAGTGGCTTTATATTAATATCTGTTGTGTATTAATTTAATCAGTGTGACTGACTTGCACTTTCTTGTACTCTTCAAATGGGATGTTGTCTTGTTCCACCTGATCTCCCAACATCATTCTGAAATGTCACTAATGCATTAAAAAAATCTCTTCTGGAAAATGTCAGCAAGGCCTAGAGTTGGTAAGTCCAGGTGAGTTTTTTATACTGTTCAGTGTGAGTTGTTTAAAGTACTCTGCAATTATGTGTTTCCAGGCTAAATGCAGAACCTGATGGATGGCAAAAGCTACTGTAACCTCATCTGTGCTGAGGCTCAGCACATCCAGCTGGCAAGGCCTTTCTGTGCAGACCCACTGGTCACGTTCCACGTGTACTCAGAAGCACCAAGCCAGGTCCCTTTGGCCGAAGATTTGGCATTCCTGCCTTTCATGTCAGAGCATCTCATCACAGAGACCTTCTACAGCGAGCCCTGCCCCTTGCCCTACCAAGTGCCCCACTCCAGTCTGCACAAAAGTGAGTACTCCTATGGCTCAGCTTTCATCAGGAAGAGGAACGAGAGGGAAAGGCAGCGTGTTAAGTGTGTCAATGAAGGCTATGCCAAGCTGAGGCACCACCTGCCCAAGGAGTACTTGGAGAAGCGGCTCAGCAAAGTGGAGACCCTGCGTGCTGCCATAAAATACATCAGGGACCTCCAGTCTGTGCTGTGCGCTGACTCTGGGGTGGCAGGAAAAGGTGTCACAGAGCCAAACCAGGCACCTAAAGGCACTGACAAACCAGCCCAGTTTTTGGAGACGATCTGAAGAGTTCCAAAGCCATTCCTGGCAGGAATGTAGTGGCCGCTGTGTCAATGACGTGTGTGTCCTGGCACTCCTTGGGAGCAGATCGTGGCACACGTCACTGTCAGCCCACACAAGAGCTTGAACGTTGCACATAGTTACTACACTTAGATATGAGAGGGACAACTGGCAAAATCTCAGCTGAATGACTTAAGTTAATTCATGAAAATCAGAACGGGTTTCTAAATTTGTCACCAACCTAAAAATGTGACACCTGTATGTGTGAAGTAACTGTATGTATCATCACAACCTGCATGCTTTAAAATAAAATCTCTCTACTTATGGGACTGAGATTCTCATTTTCTGTCATGTTATTGGTTTAATCTCACATGCACTTTCTTAAAATATTCACTCTAATTGCCAGTGTTTCTTTTAAAGTGCCTTTTTAAAGGTTCCAAGGAGGGTTTGTTAGATGCCAAAAGAAAGGATAATTTAGTTTAAAATGGAGAAAAATAGAGTAGGGTAGGAGCTCTCTGAAGCACAGTTGCTGAACACAGGAAGAGCATAAAGTTTTGTGAGTGCTGCTCCATCATTTTCTTATTAGTGAACATTTTAATCACATTGAAAACTTTTTGACATTGTGTAATTTCTAGTGAAAATTGGATTCTTGTACTGATGTCAGTGCCCTTAAAAATTACTAGGACTGCCTATAAAATACACAGTATAACGAGGGCTGGCAAGGTTTTGGCCATCAGCATAAAAATAAACTGCAATAAAAATTTTTTTTGGACTTTGACTGATGATGGTTGAGGTCTGGAGTGGTCTTCCCCAACCTCTCAGTCTGTTCCTCTGTACTGCTGATGGTTTCAGTAAAGTGTTACAAAATAGAACTGTATGAAGATGATGAAGAGAGTTTAGCTCATAACCAATAAAATGTCTTAACATTTCTTCTCTGTAAGGGAATCATTGGTACTAAATTCTTCTACTGACAACATGAGAGCTTGTAGGCTGTCTGTGCAGCAGAATGTACACAAAATGGTTACAGGCTTCCCACGTGATGTATCCTCCCTAACTGCCTTTATCCCACCCTGTTACATTGGTTTTATAGCAGTGAATTGAAACATGCCTAATAAAAGGCAATTAAGTATTCCAAACACCTCCTTCCCCCAAAAAACCACAAACAAAACTAACCAAACAAAAAATCAGTAAATGTCAACTTTTTGTTGTTCTTTTAAGGAGGATGTGAAAATTAGGGATCTCAGCAGAGATTAACAGGTAGGTTTCTGCATTATAATATGACATATTTTTGATAGGCACTTTGTAAGAGAGAGGTAGAATTCATTAATCCTTCCCCCTTACTGTGAAAGGAGAAAGTTGTAAAGTGATTTGACCTTGGTTTGTCTCAGCTTCAACCTTTCTGTGCACATTTCAAACATGTTGATTTATCACACCCTGTTGTGGTGAGCTTTTTTTAAAATTTTCCTTAACCTGAACTGTAACTTTGATGCTGGGTTTTACCCTGCAATCACTGAGGACACTGAGCTCTCTTAAAATTCCTTCCCTGTGGTGCAGGAGATCCATGGGGAATTGAAAATTGAGCAAATGTGTGGCAGTCAAATGGTCCCCTCTGAAGTCACGTTCTGCTGGGTTTTAACCAGTCAGCTCAGGGTGCCCAGTCCTGGCAGTAACAGCTCTGGAAACCTCCATAGCAACTGGGAAACACTGGCAGCAAAAGGCTCCCTGTGTAACAGGAAAAAGGGTGGCATTTCTGCATTCAGACTAAATCCAAATGGTGTGTTGTTACCAATAGCAGGTAAGTCTGAAATACTGCTGTGCCTTTGTCAATGCACTGTTGTGTGTACAAACAGGGGTGTTAAAATGTGCTTTAATGTAGAAGTGATAGTTGCCTTTCTTTGCAAAGTATTACTGATTCCATCTTGTTTTGGTTTATAACAGCAGTTTGTGCAGTCATGAAATAAATTGATGTATTGTGCTGATTTCCTGACTTAAATATGAATTTTGCAGAGTTAATCCACTCTTCTTGCTGGGTTTACTGTGTTAGTTATCTGAAATTATGTATCTATCTGAGAGTCTCCATAAAAAAGATTTCCGGTTCATATTTCTTAGATAAGACACAAAATATCATCTAAACACAAGTGCTTAAACTGCATCTTGTAAAATAAATTAAACATTTAAATTTTATAGGTTGTTGAGTGACCCTAAGGAAGTTGTGACCCATAAAAATGTCATCATCTGTGTCCATGGGTGTAGCTGGGACAAGGCTGTGGCTGCCATGTGCAGGACTGTGGCCTTTTCATGACAGATACAAGTGAGACAACTTCCAGGAAGCATTCATCTGAGCTTAAATGCTCACATTTGTACCAAATGGTACATCTGGGGGTGATTTTATCAGCCAGACGTAGGAGATTTCAGCAGCTCATTCATTTTTCCTGTGTCTGACAGTCAAGCTCCACTGACTTACCAAAATACTATTCTCAGAGCAGTACTGCTAAATTTGGCAGCAACAACAGAAATTACTGTCATCTTGTTCTGTTTTCTTGTTCATGTAAAACTGTACTGTTTTCTTGTTCCTCTGATGACAAACTGGGAGGAAAGATGCTGCCAGGCCTGTTGGTTTAGTGATGGTGTCCAGGCTGCCCACTCACCTCTGTGACACTGTGGTGAGGTGTTAGAGAGGGGCAAGAGTTGATCCTGCCTCTTGACAGGAGCAGAAAGTGCATGAAGCTGCAAAGCCTGATCTGTCTGTGTGTACTGCCCAGCTGCTTAAGGCTGCTTGCTGTTTCTCTTAACAGCCTCAGAAGATGAGGAAATCACAGTCCAGTTCTGGAATGACAAGCAAGTGAAAGTCCCCCGTGGTGTGGCTCTGTGGATCCCTCCCAGCCTGTGGGAGAGGATTGTGGAGATGATGCACATGCCCTTCACCAGCAGGGTGAAGCCCAGACCAAGCCAGGACTCTGACTCTTGCATTTTTCCCTGCAGTCCTAAAGCAGCCCTAATTCCTGTTTGTGCTCTGTGTAGCCTTGCCAAGCACTGCTTGCTCTGCTCTCCCTGCTGGCCACATTTCCACCACCACTGTGCTGGTGGAATCTGCTGCTCACCAGCCTGGGCAAGGTGCATCTGCTGCTGCCATCCCTGTGCTGCTGCCTGGTGGCCTCTTCCCTCCAGGTCTCTGGTCTTTCAGGACAAAGCTGAAGAGGCAGAGTCCAGCATTGAGCTCTCTCCAGGCCTTCTAGAACTGAAAGGCACAAAACAAGGAGAAGCTGCACCTGTGGCAACATCCTTTTCCTCTTCTGATCCAGAGAGGGACCTGAAGCCATCCCCCACTAAGGGTACTGTGGGGGACAGTGCTGTTAACACAGGCTCCACCCATCTTGAAAAGCCCAGGCTGAGGAATTCTGCCAGACCTGAGGAGGAATACTGGAAAAGAAGCCACCACAAGTCCCATTCCAGTAATTCAGGTACCTTCAATCAGCCCCACAGGGAAGCAGCTGTCAGAGGGAACAAAACCAAAAGTCTTCTGGGCAGGGCAGTCACTTTGCCTGCAGATTATTGGTATTAATACTGTAAATTTGCATATCAGAGTCTGATACAATTCTTCCCCCTCCCCAGTATTTCTGCTGCCTCATCTGGCTCTTCTTTTCCATGGGTCACTCTTCCCATGGAAAACTACCAGAACAATTATTTTCATTGGAAGCCAGATATTCCTCTCTGTTTCCTGTCATTTTCCTATGCCTTTTATGATGCTAACATCTTCATTAACCTGCATAGCTCAGCCATTCAGAATAACCTGAAAGAATTCCTTTCAGACCTAAAGTGCATTTTTGTCTCTTCTGAAATGACTGTTTCTCAATTTCAGTTCTGGTTTCACTCTTAGACACAATTTTACTCCTTCCCAGGATCTGGAAGTTGTACAAAGGACCAGCTGGAATCCAAAGCCATCTCCACTGGGGACATGCCCAGTGTGGCCCCAGCTCAGCAGAGTGCAACGTTTGAAACCACTGAGCAGACTCCCAGAGGGCAACTCACACTGAAAACAATCCTAAGAGACCAACATTTCAAGCCATCATTGAGGGTAAGATAGTCTGTATTAATTCTGTGGTTACATAAGCAGGAGGTTTGTTTGAATGAAAAAAATATTCTTATAAATGGTTTGGAACCTGGCAAGAAAAAGACATTGTTTGTAACTGCTTCCTGAGGCCATCCACCAGTTTTGTGATAGGGAGGAAAGTTGTCCACTAATGAAACCAAACAAAAAATCCCCAAACCTTAAGAAAGGGCTGGAGCTATGTGGTAAAATGGAAACAATTGTCAGTAGCCATGTGAGCATTCAGTAATGCAGATTTCAATTCAGAAACCTGCCAAATGCCCATTGACACCTACCCAAAGAAGTCCTGTGTTAAATCCACGGAAAGGTGCTGAGCTCTGCCTATCAAATTGTGATAGTCACAATTTCTGTCTCTGAGAGATAAAAGCAGATTCTTTGGTAAACAGTCTTTGCTGAGTTTCTTCTCTCCCTCAGTGGAGGCAAGCAGTTTAAACAGCACATTCCTGCTGTGAAGCTGGGGGATTCAGAGCAAGCAAACTGTGTCACAGCTAGGAACAGCACCACTACCCTGGTTTTTAGGCCTGGTTTCCCTCATGCTTTAGAAAAACTTGAAAAAAATTAAGAACATGAATGCTAAAAAAAGCAAACCGAGAAATGAGGAAGAAAAAACTTATAGGAAGAAGGGAAAGATGAAAGAGAATGTCAGGATGAATAGAAACAGTGCTCTGCACAAGAGCATCAGGGTAGAATGAATATATTATATTCATGAAATCAAATATTAGCTTCTCTGTACCTTCATTCTCTTGCTACTGTGAGCTGACTGCAAAGTAAAACTTCAAATGTTCTAAACTTGCATGGTTAGAGATGAATCCACTAATAACATGTCTTGGTGAACAGAGAATATACAGGAGTACATCTTGTATTCTCACAACTGTACTCATTCATTTTAAGGAGATGCCAGCTTATCAACTGTATGGTTCCTACTTTCTATTTCTATTCTACTTTATTGGTTAAATAATCATAGTTACATAACCACACACCTTTGTAATTGATTTCCTAGGAATTTTCAGGCCAGTGTGGAGCTCCAGGCAGGCATGCTCTATGTAAGCAGTGTCAGAGCTGTGCACTGAAGTGACATGAGTTGCCTTTTGGTAAAACTTATAAGAAAGCAGAATTGTTTCATTCCAGCCCCAAAGCAGCAGCATGAATCACAGCAGTGGATGCAACGTGGCAATACAGGGTATAATGACAGAATTTCATTCCTGTAAAACAACCCCTTGGTGATTTTAGACCCAGAAGATCCAGTGCTACTCTGAGATAGCTGAGGCAGTTTTATCACATGCTGCAGGCTGCATCAGAAGTGGTTTGCAGCACACAAGTGGAGTGGGAGGAAAGGCTTCCCAGAGGTGCTGTCTGGGGGGCTGATGTCCCCTCACTGCAGTCAACAAAATCCTCCTGACTTCTGAAGTAGAAAAGTTTTTAATCAAAGCCTAGCAGCTTCTGAAAATCCTTTGGTCTTGCTGTCCTATTGTGTGTTTCAGCAGTAAAGTTTGTGCCAGCCCAGAAAATAGACCAGTATTGAAGCTGTGTGAGGCACAGGTACAGCCAGCAAAGCAGCAGTTAACAAAGACACTGATGTTTTTTTTAGACCAGACTTCTGAGGGATTTGTTTTCTGTCTTCCAGGAAGGCTTTGCAGCATCAGAACAAAGATACAAAGCAGCATCTGATGATAAATGTGAAGCCACTTGTGTTGGAGATGACAAACCTGATGTTACAGACCCTGTCAGAGCTCACTTGCAGCAAAGCAGAGAGAGACATGATCAACCAGAATTCAGTACATGTACAACTGATCAAGTTCAGGGGCTGACATTTCAGGTAAACTGCTTCTACTCTATCAGTGTTATATTTTTTAAACAAATTAAGTTCTGCTTCAGGTACTGTCTCAGTAGAATATCTTTATGGATGACTATATAATTTTAATAAGTGAGAAACTCTGCTGCCACCCACATTAAACTTGAGCATCCTCATTCTTTATTCCAGAGTGCTACAGTAAATTCCTAACTATTTGGACTTGACTTTACAACTCTGGAGAGATCAGATGAGCTAGTAGGAGCACTAAAAGCCTGAACAGATGCACACCAAGAATCCAATAAACCTCTCATTTGTCTACAGCTCTCTGGGGTGAGCCACAGAAATTCATCAAAGCAATTTCTGTTTGTAGAAAGCCAGGAGGAATGGAGAAACAATACAACCTGACAGATGAAAGATTTTTTTGGGGATTAAAGCACAAGCAAAAGTAGCCAGAGGCTAAAGGACCTGCTACTGTAGATACAAACAACAAAATTAGCATTCAAGCCACTGATTTTTGTATTCTGATGAAAATGAATGGAAACCTTAATAGTATCAGCTACAGAAAGATGACAGATCCCATCACTAATTCTAAACATGGAATCTGGTCCTTTGGCAAAGTTAAGCATCCAGGGAGTTTTGTAAGTGGGACTGCTCGTGTTTAAAGCATATGAACTTGGACATAAGCTGCAGTGTGCAGTTGCTCAGCAGTAACTTGGATAATTTAGGTTACCCCACAACCCTCAGAAAAGAGGTTTAGTGTAGTCTGCAAGGAGACAGGACCTGAATCAATAGCTCATGTGCCTAGACTGAGCACCTGACACATATTTCAGCACATTTCTGAGCTGGGGTTCTAGGTAGGGAATTTAATTTGCATTTCATTTCTTTACCAGACTAGCAACAGTACAGACAGGAGAGTGGCTTGTGAGCCAGCTGCTCCAAAATCAGTGCCAGCCTACAGAAGCCAATGTACACCCATATTCACACCACATGGATCGTGCTCTCTGGTCAACACTGTGACATGGGGGTTCTCTCTGAGGATGATACAAAAGAAGCTGTCATCACAAAGGCTTGATCATATATTTTATTTCACTGATTGTATCTTTAATTGTTTGGAGCAGAAGAATCTGGAATTACACAGTCACATAATTGGATTTAAAAGGCACACAATGTACAAATATTTATAAAAATCAATGTACAAAGTGGGCTGCATATAATTGCATTAACTGGAAAACAAATATACAGGCCATAAAAATGGAGTCCCAGAGAGGAAGCTACTGTTAAAGTGCTAACAAGAAAAAGATATTTATAGCTCATTACACACATTAAAAAGAGCCTCATGTTTTATTCCTGCTATTGCCAGGAAACAACAAATATCACAGGACAAAAGTTAAATCAACACTTTGTCCTGCATTGACATCTACTACGTGGGTTTGTTCCACCATGTCTTCTGAGATTGCTGTGATAGAATAGATGCCAGGAGAAACTTCAATGTAGAAATCTTTCGAATGTCTTCTGGGCTTTAAGAAAAAAAAAAAACAAACCAAAACAAAAAAGTTATTGGTTAGTTATCTCAGATTTCCCCCCCAAAAAATTAATTTGTATTTGGGTAAAAAAATTACATTTCAGCTGCTATATTAATATACTAAGATTTTTCTAAATATATGGAAGGCAGTGCAAACAAAACTTTAAAAACGTCTCTGTCAGTATAAAAATTAGCAAGTGCCATACTCAAAGTATTCCAGCAAATGTTTCAATTGGTGGAAATAATCACTGTGCTGTAATTCACATCTTACAAAACTCAAATTTACCAACGTAGACAGTTCTGAACATAAACCTGGGAATTCCTGTTCCCTACGCCAAAGGTGCTCTCACTAATTAATAGTGTGGTACAGATTCAATGTTTCTCATCTTTTCTGGCTTGGAAGTTCCTGAAATTGATTTCTGAGGTGTTGGGCTTTGAAAAATAAAACCAGTTTTCTTCTCCTTGATAAACAGGGGTCTTCAGAGCCTGTGGGAGGGCCAAGTACAAGAAACAATCTGGTTTCTAACTAATTGTGCAAGTCTCTGTATGGCCATTTGACTGCCTATACATATATTATGATTGTCAATCTGCTGTGCCATCAAGGTCTCCAGATCTGTTCACAATTTGTAACCAGCTTTATTCAAAATGATAAAAGAAATGCTAGCAAATGCCTCCACTTAAAACCAAAGTATTCTACACACTTACCCTTTGCTGGCAAGTTTGAGCTTGGCTGGGTTCTACAGTACCTTCAGTCTCCTGGAAAGAAAAAGAGAATTATTTTTTAATAATGCAGCATACAGTGCAAACCCAGGCCAAGAGAGGGGAAGCTTTAGGTGCACAGAAGGATGGATAGGACACTGATAGGTGCCACAAGAAGTGACTGTGCCTTCCCCCAGCCCAACACAGGCTTGGATCAGTCCAGGTGTTTTTATGTCACTTTTCAGCAAAACCAGAAGTTCCTACTTACCTCTTCCTCTGTGGGATCCATCTTTCTTTCTACTGACTTGCCATGGTATTTGCAGAAGTGTCTGATTTCATTCTCTTTGCACTTGTTGGTTGCCATGGACCTGTAGCACTTCTGGACAGCAAGAGAAACAGAAAATATCATGTGGGAGGTGCAGAGCCACTGCAGATTTACAATTGAAAGTAGAACTACACAAGTAGTTCTACACACTACTGATGCTATGTACTAATTGGCTGGTTTGTTCTCTGTGGGGGTGAAAACAAAGCCTGTACCTCCAAAGGCCACCTGCCTCTGCTGCAGGACTCTCAGGCAGGCCTGACTTTGTGTTCCTAACACAATATGGAAGGCAGGGACTCTGACAACCCAGAACTGAATGAAAATGGCAGAAGGAATAAATAGTCTGGAAATGCCTGCCTGGTCAAGAAAAGCCCTGGTGGAAGAAGGCATGGTTTATGGGTCCTTAAGAGGACATGTATGCAAGCCAGGTGCTCTGCAAGCCAGTCAGTGAAGGTGGGTTCTGCAGGCCATGTGCAGCAGCAGTGCTCTAAAAGCAGAATATGTTAATATTGAAAAATAAATCAGTAAAGGAGCTGAAGTGTCTTCAAGGCTGGTACCATTTCCACAGCAGTTTTGGGAAGTGCATTAAGCACACAGCAGCCTTCATCTGGTTGCACTGCAAATGTGCTGGCATCTTCCCCACTGCAAGTTAAACTCTTGAGTACAGTTCTGCTGCCATCTGTTGTCAGCACAGAACTCCTACCAAGGTTACCTTTTTGATCACAGGGGCCAAAAAGATCCAAAATATCTCTTATTTCACAGGTTTTTCTCTTGTCCCTGACTGTCAAGACTAAATGTAACAAAATTAAGGCAAATAGGAATTCTTATTTCCTTTATTCCTTGAGCTTGTGCACAAATCAACAGATCTGGTTGCTTGTACTGCAGTTTTTGTGAAGCTACAAAATATATCAGATGCTCTGACCTGGTGCATAATGCTTCACCGAGCATCTCTTACATGATGGCACAGAGCAAAGAAATGAAATCCAACTTTTGGTGAGAAATGGGTAAATTTTGATCCCTTAGCAACCCCAAACATCTCATCTTAAACTACAGATTTAATTGCTTGCATTCAAGTGCCTAAATGGTTGTGTTCAGCTGTGGATTTTTATTTGCACTTTGTAAAATTTACCCATGAACTTATGGTCTGACATTTCCCCCCTTTTATGACTCTTCTTCTCTACAGAGATGACTGAAGCAGTACTGTCTTGGCTGATGCATAAATGTGGAAGTCATCCATTGCTTGTTCCAATTTTAATACTCTTAACAGGGCACAAGATAGACCCAAAGTATAATTTAGGTTGGGAGACACCCTTAGCATCATAGAGTCCAACTGCAAACCCAGCACTGCCAAGTCACTGATAAGGATCAGCCTCACTACACTGTTGTCTTGTGTAAAATCTGTTCTGCCCCAGTTGTTCTAGGATCAACTGCTTACTGTGTGTGTAGTGTTTTGAAATTATAAAGGAGTTGCTTAAGAGCTAATTGCTTGGTGTGCTGGAGTACTGTTTTCTCTAATTTAATTGCAGACTTGGGCTCTGTATTAGCCCTGCAGCAGTGAGCTCCCTGCTGAGTTGGGATAACAGACCCCTAGGGGCACAAACTGAATGGAATCCTCAGAGTTCAGTGCAGGAGCTGGGCTGCAGGGCTGTGCTCACAGTGGGGGCTGGCAGAGGGTGGCTCCAGTCTGCCCCTGTCACCCAGCAGAGCAGGGACACCTGCCAGCCAGAGCACAGTGGAGCTGAGCACCTGCACACAAACCTCTCCATTTCTGCTCAGCACACACAGAGAGCTGAGCCCACACTCCTCACCCAGGAGCACCATCCCAAATCCAGTTTGGCCTGGTTTTGTCTGGGATACAGCAAGTTTTCCTCCTAGCAGTTGGCAGAGTGCTGTGTTTTGGAGTTAGCAGAGTACAGTGTTGATAACAAAGTGGTGTTTTGGTTATTGCTGAGCAGTGCTCACCCTAAGCCAAGGGCTGCTCTCATGCTCTGCCAGTGGGGAGCTGCACAAAAAGCTGGGAGGCAGCAGGGCTGTGACAGCTGAGCCGAGCTAGCCAAAGGGAAATTCCACACCATAGAATGTCATGTATATAAACAGGGAGAGTTGTCTGACTGCTGCCTGGGCGCTGGTCAGTGAGTGGTGAGCAACTCTATTGCGCATTACTTGTTCTTCTTGGGGTTTATTTCCCTCTCCCCTTTTCATCACAATTATTACTGTTATTATAATTTGTATTTTCATATTTTACTTTGTTTTAATTAGTAAACTGTTCTTATCTCAACCCACGAGTGTTATTTTCTCCAAAGTCACTTCTCCATCCTGCCAGGGGAGGGGAGCAGGGAGGGAGTGAGCTGTATTGTACTTAGTTGCTGGTGGAATCAAATCACAACAGCAACACTAAATTCAAAACAAACACAGGACACAAAGCATCTCTGCACTTGAGATTCCAACTCTCCCTTATTTCCAGCACCCAGACCAGGGTATCTATCAGCCAGCAGGAGTGGCTCACGTTCCCCTGATAACAACACCAGGTCACTATGTCACAAGGCCATTTCCCAGCAGAGATACTTTGGGGCACTGGAAACATTCCATACCTTGTGACACAATGTATTTTGTGATGCCACCTGACATTTTTGTCTCTCTAACCATACCGCGTTTCCACCAAGAAATGGAGAAACCTTCTGCTAAAATCTGTACCAGGCTACCGGTACTGTCTATAGAAAATGCAATAGTGGTGTTTATCAGCCAGGGTGGAACCAGGACAACACCGCTGAGCTGTGCCCTGCCACATGGTGCTCAATGCCCCAAACTTCCTCATCTCGGCCGGCACCCCGGGCTCGCTGCCGAGCCCCTGCCATGCCACGAGCAAACCTGAAGCCCGATTTCTGCAGTACAGGCAGCGAGGCCTCCGGCAGGCACATCCTGAGCGTTCCCCTGCGGGCGGCTCCGGGGCTGGCCCTCACCTCGCATTCCTTTGAGACTCCTCTCATCAAATTCACAATCGAAGCGAACGCTGCATTGAGGCGTTCCCGGTCCTGGTCCTGCAACGAGAGACATTCCCGGTCACCCAGCGTGCCGCCGGTCGCTTAGATCCACAGGGCGGCAGGCACGGAGCCGCAGAGCCCTCGGGGGCACCGGGCGGCCCGTACGGAGCTGTATCTCCGTGATCTCCCGGTCTCTGTCTGTATCTGTGTGTGTGCGTGTCCCGAGTGCGCGCACGGCACTGACCAGGACCGGGCCCGGGCGCGGAGCCGCGCCCGCCGCGCGCCGCCGCGCCCGCTCCAGCACCTCGCGCGCCACCGCCATCCCGCCCAGCGCCGCCGCCGCACTGCGCACGCGCCGCCCCGCCCTCAGCCCCGCCCGGGGGGCACCGGGGGCGGCCCCCGCCGGGATGTGGCCCCTCGGCGGGCTCGGGGCGCTTTGTTTGTCCCTCACGCTCACTCCCTGCCCTGTGGTAACGCAGGAGAGGGGCACCCAGGCAGGCTTTCCCGGAGAGGGTCAGCGAGGTGCCCGCGGATGCTGCCCCCCGGATGTCGCCGCCGTGCGACAGCGGGGCAGAGCCCACAAAAGCCGGAGCCCCGCCGTGGCCCCTGGTCTCTAGAGGGAAGCGGCGCTCCCCGATGGTTTTTGGTTAAAGTTGCGCGGTATGAGCTCCCGGTGCCGGTAGGGGGCGATGGCCGGCCGAGGGACGCGGTGCGGGTCACGGCCGGGCCGCACAGCCCCGGCATCACTGCCGAGGCAAAGCCCGCTGGCGGGGGCGGTGAGGGAACCGCAGCGCTGGGCCCCGCCAGCAGCACTGCCGAGCAAACCGGCCCTGTCCCCGGAGCAGCACTGCCGAGCAAACCGGCCCTGTCCCCAGTGCAGCATTGCCGAGCAAACCGGCCCTGTCCCGGTCTGTCCCAACAGGGCACTGCCGGGCTCCGGTCACCGCTCGGAGTTACCGGAGCGGCTCGGGAAGTGGCTGTGGCTGCGTGGGAGCAGGGAGCCTTCGCTATCCTCGTGTGCACCGTGGTGACAGTAGTAAGGAAAAATAAGCATAAACAAAATAAGCATTTAAGTCCCATATGGCCCAGGTTAACATGAGGCCCCGATCCTTCAAGTCCTTCATTCTTGTTGAGAGCTTTGCTAGCTGTAATCTCTCTGACAAGCAAGAAAAATAATCCTCTCCTAGTTTACATTTTATTGTCATCTCCTAGTTGCTTAAGCAGAGCAGCAGCCAGCCCCCGCAGTAAACAAACCCTTCACAGGCTGCTTGCTCATTAAGACATTGAAAGCCCCCATTCAGTGCTCAAATCCAGCTTAATTTTGAGTTTGGTCTCCTGTACTCAAAAGAAAATTTAGGCAAGCTGCTGGAGTGCTTGAGGTCTGCGGAACTGAATGCAACATAAAGGGTGGGGGCGAGAAAAATAATATTTGATAAAAGCAATGTTAGTGTGTTTGATGTGGTGGAGAAGCAGCCAGAACAGACTGCTTCCTGCTTAATTGGAAGTTGAATGTCCTAGCATCATGCCTTGTTAGCAATGGTCTCCTGGAGAGGTGAGTGGGTTTGCTATGTTGCTGCTCTTGTGAAATAGACTTGGAAAGGCCCTCCTATGTCGTTTTCATAACATGCAGAGAAAACTGATAATTTTTTCTTCCTGCCAGGTACTTGCAGCAGTAGCTTGTTGTTCAGGAGGTAAATTATTCCTGTTGTGTTGAAATTTAAACTCCCACTATTTTTTGATGTTTGGTGACACAGTACTCCTTTGCAGCTGAGTAAATACAAGAAGGCTGACAGCTGAAATAGCTTTTGCTTTGAAACACACATTCACATCAGAATCCAGATGAGAGTTACCCTTATTTCCTGTACATTCATTCTTTTGAAATATAATGGAGGTTTGTGAAATGCTGGGCATTTCCACCAGATTCCTTGTTGTGTGGGTTGATGGATGAGGATATCTGAAGACAATGTATTTCATTTTGCTGGTGAGGTGGCAAAAGCCAGGAATAGTTTATCCTGAACACTTGGTTCTGGGTTCAGGGAAGCATCCTTGAGTAGGAAAGCTCATAAGCATTTGCCTGATGCTATTTTGCTTCCATTTAAGTCAAAGGAAAGAAAGTCAGAAAATGCTTAAAAGTTCCAGAAATGCTAGAATTTGTATTTCAAATTGCAGAATACATGCTGCTCTTTGTTTTAATTCTGTACCTAGAATCATTTGGTTAATCTGTTGTGAAGTCACTTGTCTTATCAATGCCGACATAACACTTCAAGATCTAGGAGCAGTCTCTGTATTTTGCAATACTCATGGTCCTGTTAAGAGCTAGCATCCTGCCTCTTCTGTATTATTTTATATCAACAGTTTTGGGTGGGTTTCTCATCTGCCAAACCATCGGAAGCCGTGGACACGTGTGCGAGGGAGGTGGCCCGCACAGACAAAGCCACGCAGGGGCTTTTTTGCCCCCAGGTACGCGATGCCCTGGGGAGCCCTGGCCAGCGAGCGGGACACCTCGGGCTGCGCTGCGCAGGGAGCTGAGCGTTCCGCATTGCTGCCAGGAGCTGCTCCGGGGGCTGCATCGGAACCCGGGCACCCGGCACGAATAGTTCAGAGTCACTCCGCTCCTCCCCGGGCTCCACAGGTGCTGTGAGTGCTCGGAAGGCGCTCCGGGAGCTCCCCGGCCCGCAGCTCCCGGCTGGGAGCCATCAGCCCCGCGCCCGGCGCAGGAAGCGCGCCCCCCGCACTCCTCCTTCCTTCCGCTCTGCCCCGCAAGCGCCGCTGCCCGAGAGGAGCGCAGAGCTCGGGGGGTTTGAAATAAAACTGAGCGCTATCGCCCCTCCGGAGCGAGGCTGTTAGTCCGGGGGTGGGGGGGGGCTCGGTCCTCTCCTCCTCCTGTGCCCATCGCATCTCCCCGCAGACCAGCCGGCCCTGCCCGGCTGCTCCCCTCCCTCCGCCTGTCCGGGACCCGGGTTTGGGGCTGGGGGAGGCGGTGCCCACCCCTCCGCGGGGCCGGCGGGAGCGGTGGCTCGGCAGCCCGGGCCGGGCTGCGCTGCGCTGGGGGAGCAGGTTTCTTTGTTGGCTGCCGGGTGACTGGTTCCCATTAATCTCCCGCACTGGTCGTGGCCGTCTCCACTTCCTGCCTTTGCATACTTTTCTCTCCCTCGATCTCAGTCCCTTCCCACCCCCCTCCCTCCCTCCCCCCCTCCCCCCTTTCTTTCCCTCTTCCCAGCTTCTCCAAAAAAGCTACAACCGCCCGGGCTGCGGGACGGGGGCTGCAGGCGGCCGGCGGAGGGAGCGCATCCCTGCGCACCTCGGTAAGGGCCGGGGCGGCGCGCTGCCGGGCGGTGGTCGCCTGCGGGGACCCGGGCAGGAGAGCGGGACCGGGGGGAGAAGCGATTGCTCGTGCTCCGGGTGGCCGTCCCTGCGCGCCGGGAGCTCCACTCAAGCGCGGCGGGCCGGGGATGCGCGGCGGCGGCGGGAGCTGCGGCACCCGGAGCGCGGAGCCCCCGCGGCAGCGGAGCCGCCGGAGGCCGTGCGGGTGCGGGCCGGCCCCGCGATCCCTGCGGGACCCTGCCCTGCCCTGCCCCGGGGGAGCGCACACGGGCGGGGGTTCCTGCGCACGGGCGGAGCGGGGACTCGGGGCTCCCGCGCCGCTGCCGCCGCCGTGCCTCGCGGGACGCTGCCTTTGGCGGGGGTGGCGAGGGCAGAGGTGCCGCGGAGGGACAGAGCCCGCAGGACCGCTTCTGCCGGAGCGGGGTAACTCGGATCCGGCCGGGGAGCCGGCGCGCCCAGCGTGCGGCGCTGAGCCGGGGA